CCTGGAGCTAATCTCCAATCCGCCTGCGAACCGAGGTGGATCCTAGCTCAGTGGAGTGGAGTGCCAATCACGATTGAGCCACGGATAGCAAAACTCCCGTGGCTCCTGCTCCACGGCCAATCAATTCCCTAATTCAACCATCGTACCTGCTTCAATCACCGCTAAGTACTGCCAGGCGGTGGCAGGAGGCAAAGGTACTCGGCCTTGGCCTCACATCCATGTAAGCAGCGGAAGGAACTGTCTACGCCTGCGCCTAACAGAGGTTTCACTGCGCCGATGCGCAATTTACGCTGTCTTATGGCGCACATAGAACCGGCGCAGTTATGTGCTGTTGACTGAACACCACCACAGCATAACTATGACCAACAATGACCCTTCCCCTGTAATAAGCCTACCTAAGAGACGAGAAGGGCCAGGCTGAGGACGGGGACTGTCATTCCTCACTTCTGCCGACTCGGCAGAGATACGCGTATTAGCCTCCCGACACGAACAACATGCTGGTCGGGTCGTGCACGGACATGAGGCACAGCAACCGGGGGTCATCACATTGAAGGCTTGGCAGCCTTTAGCAAATTGAGGGTGGGCCAGATGAAAGGAGCGTACAGGTGAAATGTTATCAGAGTAGGGATGACTGTCGAGAGTTCTACCAAACTGGCATCATATTCTAATATTATTGATAAATTCAATTCATCCCTTAGAATTTTAGCATCGCTCCGCGCTGTGCGAGGCGTCTGGTCAGCTGGGTGGTGGGCACGGATGAAAAACCGCCCGTCAAAGAGGGAGCCATATTGATCAATGCCCATCAACCATGGTGTAGCTGTTCCCCGGATCCATTTTATTGGTTGTTAACACCGGGAGAGGCGCCAGCACGAAAGACGGTTAAACCGAGACAAGCCTGACAAGCGTGTCATTCATTCCAGGAGACGACCAAGTCGGCCGCCCGAGAACCCTAGGACCCATATATGGAGACATGTGAATTGATGACCTGCTCTCTATGAACTAGGCCCAGCATTCCCAGTCTTCTCTCCAGATACGCGTAGTGAAGGAGGCGAGTCCGAGTTGAGCCACCATCCAAGAGTAATTAATCCCGTGCCACATGGGACGTACTCATTCACTGTGACCAAATTCAAATGGAGAAAGAAATCAATCTAATCCATAATAAAGAAAATTCCTAAACATCTCGCGACCGCTATTAGAAACGCAGAATACCCCGCATTAGCCCCCCCAGCGATAGCCCCTTACCTTATCGCCGGCGGGTGCCTCCAACACCAGCAGCGCATCCATTACCTGAAGTTGTGACAGTAATGACGTCCCTGTCAAGATAATATTTGTCAAATTCTCTTATTAGTCAGGACGGTATTCAATCAGAGCCCCAAATAACGATTAAATAATAGCATAGTTTCACTATCAAATATCAATTCTATCATGTATTTCCCCAATGCCCCATTGCTTTCTCCAAATGCAAACGCCCTAAAAATGCTCTGGTCGAACCTTCCACAGCGACAAGGAGCTCTTTCTCCGGTCTCCGAGACATCGTCGCCTTCCCCTCATGACCACCACCCGACTCTAATAAACGCGGTCGAATTATCCAAATGCCCAAGTAAATAATCCAAGATGATACCCTTGCCAAATCACGCTATCTATCATGACCTCACGCAAATCGTTTTTCTGTGATGCTCTCGCCCAGCGGGCCAGCACAGATGAACCCGTCACCCTTGGCGCCCAGGTCAAAGACTTTCTGGCCCCTCAGCCAGGTCTCGCGGACCCTACCGACGAATTTATGGCCTTCCCACGGCGAGCACCGGTTCTTCCACCGCATGTCGCCTTGAAGGAAGGTCCATATCTCATTCTCGTCAAATACGCAAATATCAGCGTCCAGGCCTTCGCGCAGCCCACCCTTACGATGCGATAGGCCGACCTGTGCCGCCGTAGCCTGACTACATAGACGAACCACATCGACAATTGAGGGTGCGGGAAGGGAGCGCTCGAGACGAGAATGGGATTTCGTGTGAAGAATCGGCAAACCAAGGCCAACGGATGAGATGCCACCCCAGGCCGCGAAGAAATCTCCCCGGGTCTCGAGTTGCTTCGCTGCCTGCTGGACTTCTTCCTCTGGCAGGGTGACGTCGATACCGGAGTCTGAGTGCGAGACTGCCGGGCGAAGCAAGGCGGGCCGGTCCAGGTGACCAGGCAGGAGTTTCAGCTCAGGTGTGCATGGTGAGTGATCTGAGACCACAGTCCGGATGCAGGAACCTTCTGACGTGAGCTCTTCCCACAGGCCGTCCCGATTCTTCTCCTCGCGGATAGGTGGGCAGCACTTATGTCTTGTGTCGCCCTTCTCAATCTCCTCAGCTGAGAGACCAAGGTAATGGAAGCAAGTCTCTGCGGTGACCTTGATACCCTTGGCACGGGCCGCGCGTAGGATCGGGATACATTCGGTGGCTGAAAGGTGTACAATGTGCAACTGCAGCTCGGGGGCGATGTGGGCCAGAGAGAGGATCTCCTCGACGGCGTACGTCTCGAATGAGGGAGGACGAGATTCCAAGAAGGTGTTATAAGCGGAAAGCTCTCCGTGAGGCTTGAGGGGTGGCTCCGAGGCCTGGACAGCATCTCCGACCGAATCGGTAATGGGCGGGATCATCTCGGCGTGGAACATAAGGGTAGTAGGGGAGTCCTTCAACTCTTCCATGGCAAGCGCCACGTCTTTGGAAGAGATGGCGGGGAACTCGTCAACCTGATTGAGTACCCGTTAGCACACCCACGTTCAATTATCCGGAATCGCAAGTAAACCTACACCGGATTCGATGAGAAACCCCTTGAAACCGCGCACCCCAGCCTCTACGAGAGGTTTCAATTCGTTGGCATTTCCAGGGATCACGCCCCCATAGAACCCGACATCAACCCAGCACTGGCCACGACTGGCAGCGAGCTTCTCTTCGAACCCCTTGACTGTGGTAGTGGGCGGGATCGCATTGAGTGGCATATCAACTACGGTGGTGACGCCTCCGCTGGCTGCGGCTCGGGTACCAGTCCAGAAACCCTCCCACTCCGTCCTTCCCGGCTCGTTGAGGTGTACATGAGCGTCAACGAGGCCGGGCAGCAGAATGCGGGGGGAGTAGTCAATGTATGTGGTTGTTTCTGGGAAGCTTGAGGCGTCACGAATAGTGGGCTCGACGGAAATGATCTTTCCTGAAGTGGGAGAAATGGTGATTGTGGCCGGAGTAAGGAGGAGTGAGTCGTCTGGGAGGGTGATGACGGCGCGGGACGAGACCAGCACCACGAGGGGTCCCCTGTGTGAAGAGCTCTGGACAGTCATGCTGGCTCGCCGATTCTGAGTTGAGTCGAGAGGTGGGATGGGAGTAGGGGGGTTGTGGGAGATCTACTCAGGTTCTCAACTACGGCTCAAGCAAGGACAAGAGAGAAGGGATCACAGGAACGAGCGGGAGCTACATGCTTCTTTTACCTGGCCGGGTGCCCCGCGGAAAAAGGGAGTCAGTGCATGACTACCGCCTGTCTGCTTTTCTTTGCACATGGACGGGTCTTTGCGGCATTCTCCCACCTTATCCCTTATCAGTGTGCGACTGAATAAAGCATGGCCCCATTCGCGAACTTCGCCGATGGTGGGGCACGGCGAGATAAGGAATAGCCGTGACCACTTTGGGTATCGCACCTCGCCCTCCTCAGCCATCCCCTGATCCCTTGGCCTCGAACCAGTTTCTATTACTCGAGAGATACCTAATCGAAAGGCGAATGGACCCCCGGCTATTGTCAGACGACCCTGGCCCCGAGATGTCATCCTGGAACCTGGGGTAGCAGCGGTGGCTTGCTTGTCTGTCTCCTCCTCCTGCCACCTCTTATCTCGTTGCGGGGTGAATCGTTATCTTTCGCCGCCTCAGAACGATCCGACGGTCATGGGCTTATCACGACCAGTTCCGTTATCAGTGGCTGATGATCTCAGGAACTTAGATTCACTCACACAGATCGGTCCAGCCACGGAGGGTAAAACAACGGGCAACGCGTTCCTGAAGGAGAAAAAACTCAACACGAGGCCAGTCATTCATTAGCCTTTGTCATCTGGCAACAAGACGGGGTTTAACCTATTCGGATAAGAAGGCACCAGCAAAGCGCCGTCCCCACTTCTCACACCAACATGAGCCCTGCCCTATCATATCGCTGCAGCAAGGACGCTTTTGGTCAATTCCATCGAGTAACGCCAGGATATCAAATAATCTTCGAGTAACTCTAACCGACGCCATTCGCAGGATGCCCGGCCCGGGACTGACGATGCGGCATCACCGTCCTTTCTGGCTCCACAATGGGTTTTCATTCTTCTCTCTCCTTCTCTTTTCTCTCTCACTAGCTGGAGCAACACCGGCCGGCTCCGGTCGCGCATTCTCTCCAAGAGTCCAAACCTCGGGATTCTTGTACGTAAAATCTCTCTAGTGTACTACCCTTCCTGGTCTCGTAGCTTGAATCTCTGCTGACCCCGACTGCCCGAGCTCGTAAAGGCGGTAAGATCCAGCTGGGTCTAAGGGTCTAGACGTGGTCTTCTTACTTGCCACTGTCATAACTCCCATATGTCCCGTATCAAGTAATCTCAGCAGCCTCATCTTATATTCACGCTCACAAGCAATGGTAGCCACAACCACGAAATTTGTGCGTAGTTTACAGCATAGCCGGACAAGCCTTCAGTAGTGGCGGGCACCAAAATCGGAAGATAAAAGGGGAATGATTCCACGCCTGTTGGTCTATATAATAATAGTAGATATGCCAAATGCACAAAGCAGATCCCCGTCATTGCCGCAAATCGTGATATGCATCCTCTTCTCGGAACCCCGTTTCTTCATAAATCAACAAGCTCCCGGACCTTACCCTCCCTTCTAAGTTGAAAAATGCAAACATAACGGTATTGTTACATGTAATACACAATGGGTTTTGAGACATGTTGGTGGAGAGGATGAGGTGTTGCGCGGGTGCAAATGACCCAAAAAGTAGAGAGCCTACTTGTTCCGCTTGATTGTCTTGTGAGCCATCTCCATCAGACCGTCCTTGGCCTCGCTCTCAGGGAAGTGGGCAATGGCACTCATGGCCTTCTCTGAGTACTCCTGCGCCAGAGCGCGGGTCTGCTCGACACCATCACTCTGAAGAACTAATTCGCGAGCCTATAAGAGAGGGGGGAAATTATGTTAGCAAGGCTGTTTGTTCTCGGGTGGATGCAACAGTGCGAGGTGCATGTATGCGGGCACTGATTCGTCAACTCCACTTGGTTGGTAACTCACCCTTTGGACGTCCCCTTCCTGCTCAAACTTGCGCCCGACCAGCGCTCCAAGCTCCGGCATCTGCTTCCACGCGAACAGGAGGGGCGCAGTGGCCAGTCCGAGCTCGAGGTCGGCCCCCGCGGGCTTGCCCAGCTCGGCGCCCGAGCGGGTATAATCGAGCATGTCGTCCACTAACTGGAACGCCAGCCCCAGGTTCCGACCGTACGAGTAGGCGGCGTCGACGGTGGCGGCGTCCGCGCCGCCGAGGAGGGCGGAGGCGCGGCAGCTCTTGGAGATGAGCGAGGCCGTCTTGAGGTACGTCTTCTGGAGGTAGTACTGCAGCGTCTCCTCCGAGTATTTGGGGGACCGCTCGTCGCGCTCCGTGTTCTTGAGCTGCATGAACTCGCCCTCGACGAGGTTGGCGATGACGGTGGAGAGGAGCTCGACGACCTCGGCGTTGCGGAGGCGGGCGAGGGCGACGGAGGCGCGGCCGAGGAGGAAGTCGCCGGCGAGAACGGCCATCTTGTTCCCGAATTGGAGGTTGGCGCTGGGGGAGCCTCGGCGGGAGACGGAGTGGTCGATAACGTCGTCGTGGAGCAGGGAGGCGGTATGGATCAGCTCTGTGATCTCGGCGAGTCGTCTTTGGCTGGGTAGGATATCTGGGTTGCCCTCCTCGGGCATCTCTTTGTCGTAGGCTGTGAGGGGATTGGCAGAGGGGTTGACGTCTGCCAGGATCTGAATGGGGGATATCGAAGTATCGATGCCCCTCGAAGTCTGGGGGTTCTCGAATGTGGCGGCCTTGGGGCACAGATGCGTGGCGCGGCTCATGAGCAAGACTATCAGAGGCCGGATGTGCTTGCCCTCAGCCTGGGTGTAGTATTTTGCGACTCGGTCCAGCGAGGGGTGACCTGACCCGAGCAGCTTGCGGATATTGCCTGTGAGGAACTTCATCTCTTTGGCGACCGTGCGGAGGGGGTCGACGGTCATTCCCTTGTCCTTGGTAGCTTCCTTGACCACATTTCCGACCACGTTCGAGGCCACCTGGACGGCGGCGGCCCATGCTGAGTCCCGCCGGCTGGATGAATGTAAGCCTCGGCGCTGGTTCAAGAACTGCGTTCTCCTCGCCGCAGCGGGACCTCGGAGGATGTGGGCGGGTTGTTGGCAGAGGTGGCATGTTACCACGGCGGATTTTGTGGCTGCCGCGGCATCGAGTAGTACTGTAGCTCCCGGCCGGAGCTGCATTGTTGACAACATGCCTCGCGAGAGGGCTTTTTGGGCACACGAGTGGTGATGTAGGTATTAGACTAGGCCGCCGAGGAAAAAAATCGTATGGGTCCAGGTCGCGGAGCCAAGGTCGGAATTATATGTTAGACAAGCACCGGGCAGAACAAGAGAGTGACGAAAATAGACGAGAATAGACGAAAATCAACGAAAATAGAAAATTATCGTAGCCGCCCAAATCGCATTGTATCACAATTAATATAGAATCCAAAGCTCAAATGTCGCTCTTTGGGCAGTTTGGTGTCTGCCGCTGCATCGAATCAACTTTTCCAATTGGCGCTACATAGACACACGGTTCAAGCCGGAAAGGTCGACAGGGGTCCACCCAGGCTCTGTGCTTTCTTTCCTCATTGGTCACTGAGCAGAGCTCCCGATGATTGATTAGCACAGGCTGATTCGCTTGTTGCAGCAGCAGCTTCAGTGTAGGCAGCAGGCAAAGAGCAGTACCAGTCGGTCGGAGCCGATTCCTGTCAACGTCATCCTCTTTTATCGCAACTCACATCGCACACGCAACAGGCGCAGAAGCCGTCACCTCAAGCATGGTTCTCCTCACAATGACGCCCTCCATTTTGGAGGGTTTAAAACGGGCGCAAGCAAACGAGACCAACCAGCCAGCCGACGACACCGAGCCTTCATTGATGGAACCAGAAATTGGCAAGCCCATAGCCCATCGCCAAATCATCCAACTCAGCCGCAATCTCCGACAATCAGAAGATTCATCCGACTTTACGTTAGAGAAGCTATTGCGCGGATCTGAGGTTTACACTCCTCCCCCGCCTCCCAAACCTGAGCCAGTACGTCTCTCCATCTATAATCAGGCCAGCTGCCATCAACCATGTCTCTAAATCCACTAACACATGGCACTAGACTCCGGAATTCAAAGCATTGATGGCACGTCTACGACATGAAGAAGAAGAACGATCTTACCAACGCATGGTAAACGCCTCCGACAGCCGAGAATCCTTCCACGACCGCTTCCCCCATTCCTCCCGCCGGGCATTCGCCTCTGTGAACGAACCGATTTCAAAGGACGACTTGGGCGACGATGATGTGACCTACGAAGAAGTGCACCGCCAAGTCATGCTCATCATCAACTTTGTTGTGAGCATTCTCGGCGTGGCAGGAACCCTGTGGGTTGTCGCCCGATGGTGGAGCACGACGGCCAGGTTGCTGTTGACGATGAGCGGCAGCATAGTGGTGGCTATTGCGGAGGTGGCTGTATATCTAATATACGTAATGAAGATGGGAGATGCAAAGAAGAAACAGGGCGCTATCAAAGAAGTCAAGGAAGTGGTGGAGACATGGGTTGTTGGCAAAGATAGCCAAGAGGAGCATGACGAGAAATCAGTGCTGTTACAAGAGAAGGAGAATGACCCAGATGGTGTGAGAAAAAGAAAGACGGTCAAGAAGGATGATAGCTAGACGAAGATTTAGCATATTAATAAATCCATGGTAGCACAATTCCAGCGGCGACTTGTGTGTGAGACTCACGGCAGCACAATCATGTATTGCATCTACCTACTGAGCGTTTACCGTTGGAATTGCAGCATGCATGCGTATTGAAGATCTTGCTCTTTCGCTTGTCATTTTCATTGTCCCTGGGTACCTTAGGTAAATACTGGAACATGTGACGGCGCGTAGAGCGGGCGAGTCAAGGCGCGTCAAACGCGTCTTTCAAGTGGGGCAACATGCGGGCTTCCATCTAATCCATAGTACATCATCCCATGCCTAAAAGCCTCCATCCAAGGTTTCTCGATGAATGTAAATTAACTTCAAGGGCATTCTTATCCTACTACTTGCGTGTATTTCAATTGTCAATGCTTGTTATTTAACGATACCCAAATCATCTATAATTCTTCTACTTAATTTCGCCAATCTTCCACACAAAGCGCGACCCAAAACCCAAGACAAAGTCACCATCAAACTCATACCTTTTGTTGTGCTGGAGCTCGAAGTATGCCACAATGAACATTACGACACCAGATTACGCCATGTAAGTATGATTGCCCTCCTCGCTACTCGCGCTGTTAACTAACGAGGTTGCAAAGAACCAAACCCGGGATGCCTCCCAAGCACCGAAAACTCGTCCGCACATACGGGCGCCGGACCCCTTCTACAGCCCCAGAGACGCGCAGCGAGCCACCAAGTAAGAAGAGAAGGACTTCGCAGGATGATCCAAACACAAATGTTGTCGAAACACTAGAAAAGGACTCGGAGACCTTACCTAAAGCCGAGCACAATGAAGAGCTGAGCACAGATCGAGATTGCCAAGATCCAGAAGAGGAACTCGGCAACAAGGAAAAGCCAAAGTCCTCAATTCTCAGTTACTTCCAGCCAGTCAAGGCAGTCGCGGGCGATTTGCCTTCACAGAACCAAACATCCTCGAGTCCGCCCAGTCCACCGACGTCACCTCCAGCTACGCGAGTCAAAAGAAAAAGGGCGCCGCGCCTATTGAAACTAAGACCAACAACACAAACATCGATAGAAGAATCAGACGATGACGAAGAGTCGGAAGGATCTCCGTCGATCTCTATAGACGACTTAGAGAAGGGTATCAGAACACACAATAGGACCCGGATATCAAGAACAGATGTTGGATCAGGACTATGCCGTACCGGGTCACCGGCAGACAGCGATACAACCTCTGAAACGAGTTCCGTGTCCAGGTTAAAGCCAGCGCACAAGTCTTTGGTCCAAACGACGCTCAACATATCGTCAAAGGCTCCCTTTTCGGAATGCAGCCTGTGCAACATTGTATGGAATCCTTTCTTCCCTGATGATGTCAAATTCCATAAGAATCGGCATACGGCAATGCTGCGTGTGCGCAAGAGAAAGGAGGAAAGCTTAATATAGTCTAATGTCCAAATATACGATGTACATGTCATTTTTATCGTCTGATGATTCAGTAGATATAACCTGTAGCCAGCTAGGCTCCAATAGTTGAACACTCCATACGTGCAGAACTCTAATCCCTAAATGAGCTGAGAGGGTATTTTACAAGCCTTGTTGAGGAAAAGAAGACCTCATCATCTTCTCATATTTACCTACCCTAGATGGCTCGAGTGTTTACCTTGACACAGGCCGAAACACGAATAAATCTTGAACTTGTGCCTCTATGAGGAGATCCGAGACTCTGAAATTCACATTTACATTTATTGCAGTTTCTAGAATAGAAACAATGCCAAGTCTGGTAATATGATGATGTTGTACCATCCAATTGGCTATTCACATCAAGATGTCCAATTCAATATCCATACTCTCGCAGGCTCTGAATAGAAGGTTACTTAATTCAATTCGCATCTAATAAATCATCTAGTGAGAATCATATATAGGCTCCAATTACGTGTCTACACCCCAAGACAACTTGGGTCGTCGCTCATATGCGGCCAGTCAGAAGCTTAGCCTCTATCAATATCGTTGTCTTCAGGGTGTCCTTCTCCCTCGGGAGCCTCTCGAAATAACTGTCGACTCCTAAAAGTTTCTCGACAAGAAGATCCAATTCCAGATCGTCTGCAGCCTCGAAAGACGGCGAAATTGACCCGGCTAGATCCAATGCCGAGATTGGATCGATGGTGGATAGGTATGGGATATACATCCAATGCTGCAGGCAGACGGAGCGATACTGGGAATAGATTGATTCATCGGGAGAACCGTATAGCGCGCCGAGATCGTATAGGATTCTAAGATATCTCATGCGAAGAGATAGACCGGCAATGAACTGCCGAGCAACGAAAATGGACTCGAATTCATATCTGTATCCAATGAAGAACCCCGGGTCGGATATCTTTCTGATTGAGGCAACGTCTGTTGCCGTATCTACCGACTTGGTGATCAAGTTGGCTAGCTTGATGTGCTGCTTTGAAATATCATCATAGAGGTTATCTTTCGTTTCTCTCATCTCGTCCGGATTCGCTCGAATTCGTCTGATATCCTGGATCCATGCCGAAAGACTGGCGAGGGACTCGTCGTAAACTAACGGGTCTGCCCAGAGATAGTTATGGTCATTCTTGGCCAGCTTCTTCTGTCCGAAGTCTTGAAGAATTTCCTTCCAAGGTGATTCAGTGACGTAGCTGTTTTGGCCCTTGCCCGGTATCCTCGGTTGCTATTGTGCACAGGTCAGCATTGGCTCGTAGGAGGGACGGCAAATGCAAAGGAACATCTGGGGTTTGGAAGCTAGCATCTTACCATAATTCCAATGTATTCAAAGGCCAAAGCAAGGTCTAAATCGTCGTCGGGATTCGGTGTGCCCTTCTGTTGTAGAACATGCTGGATGCCGCGAAAATGTCGTGTATTTTCAACAAGACCAATGCTGAAGAAGTGCTTGACACGCTCCATCAGCGTCATGGCACACACCATCTCAGGGGTATACAGCTGATCACTATGGAGGGAGTCGCGTAGACTGCTGATGGCCCTGCTGTACTGTCGAGTCACCAGCAGCTTCTCAGCCGGCTGCCCGCAGCGGTACTGGCGCCATGCAAAGCAGAAGAGCGCCGTGCATTCCCGCAGGCAGAAGTTGTCGGCGAGGCGCTGGGGGATGTACGGCAGATACCTCATCTGGCTGGCAAAGACGCTGCTGGGATCCTGCTCAAGCAGGTCGACGAGCCGACCACCCACACGGTCGGCCGTTGTGGTGAGCCTGGGGCGAGGGACCTCGAGACGGAATGCGCCGTATGAGGCGCGCCCGCCGCCATACGGCTTCAAAGGGCTTCGGTCTACCATGACCAGCGATTTGGCCTGGTCGGCCTGCTTGGTCCTGGCGGCAGACCGCACACGCGCGCCTGGCGGTGAGCTTCGTCGGCTACGGCCATGGTCAACGAACTTGATGAGGGCGGATGGGCCTGGACAGACTCTGTTGAGTTGTTTGCAGCGCGTGCAAGTTGGCCACTTCTTGTCGCACTGGGATGTCTCAATAAGAGTTCAAGGTCGGGTGATGTGATCGTATGCTTACTCTGATACGCTTCTGTTTGCAGGCCTCGCAGCCGGTTGACCTGGGAGTCCCTGCCATTTACTGATGCTTTTTCACTGTTCAGCTGCTAGAAGCATGCAGAGACCAATTCTTGGGGAATGATGAAGACAAGCGATTGAATTTGATTGAATCGAGAAGATGATGGCTGGTAGAGTGGCTGTGCCGAATGTGATGCGAAGATGCAAGGGTACCGGAATTACTCACACCAAGGCGGCCGCAAGGCAGACGCAATGTCACCAACATTTGCCGATTTCACCAAACCAGTGAGCAGCCAGACGAAGAGAACAGGACCCAAAGAGGAAAGAAAAGGTAAGTTATATGAGCACTAAATATCTTTAATTTATATCGCTTAACATTACTGATTTATTGTAGCCATCGTAGAAAGTGGTCTGCTCATAACCGTCCTTCAATTTGGACCTCATTTCTTCTGTCACCAAGTTAGCCAGCCTGGGTATCATGAGGAAGCCTGAATATAATATTGGCAGCGAAATAGAAAAAATCGACGACATTGAGTACTCCCATTTGGGGTTTTATCTCGCCACCTAATCGTTGAGGTAAATTTCCTCTAAGAGCGTAGGCTACCCCTCGGAGGGTCTCCAACCAGGTTACTCGGCTGGTAGTAATGCTGTTCGCCAATCTCAGTTGATTGACTTCATCTCCCCTGTGGCAAGCGGAACATGCTAGGTTTCCTCCGCCTCTTGATTTCTTTCGTTCGATGCTCATGCTGTTGACGGCTCCATAGAAGCTTGGTAAATTATATCATTGATGTACTCTGAAGGTTGGCTCTGCTGCTCTTAAGAACCTTTGTGCGACTACATCATAGGCGTCATCGGAGAGATATATCTGTAGCGCTTCAGAGGCGAAATCAGCACTTGTGTTGCCTTGGCCCTGATGAGACTTGCTACTGCTATCTTCGTCTGGAGCTTGTTCAGAACTCGGCGTCATAGGCGAAACCCGCTTGAGGAGGTCCTTAGCGTAAGCCGCGGCTGCCATTGCAGCGTAGCCTTGCCACTCCTTGTTCTTATGAGAATCAGCATAGTCGCAAATACCTCGGATGACAAGACACGGAAAGTTGTTCATCAGCCCGGCCGCTTCCATTTCAAAGCAGAGGACATCATGCTCCTCCGCGAGCGTGTCCCGAATGATTGCATCTTTCATCAATGTGTCTCCAGATGCAATAAGCCCGTAGTGAATCGCAGGATCGTCCTCTTGTCTGCCCCGCGGCTGCCGAGGAATAAGGTAGTCTGACGAACAGCCGTCGGCGCAGGCAAGCTTGCCGCCGTGGATATATCCACTTATATACAGCCTGTCGGAGCTCCAGGAAGGCTTCGAGTACTTCCGGCCCAACCTAGGGTTATAGCTCAACGCGGTATCAATAGACTTTCTGAGCTTGTGCCCCTTCCTCTCGTATGATGCTTCAAGGCCCGCTACTGCCGTACGTAGGACAGTGGGCGGCTGGTTCATGAACCCCGTGTGATAAAAGCGTTGATCCTGGACAGATTTGCCAAAATCAAATTGGAAAACCCCGCTGTTACCTCCCGAAGGGCTGCTCACCACCACATCCCCAAGACGAATGTCGTGCCGGGCACTTGGGACGCCACCGCCGATGCCAACCATCAGCATAACCCGAATGTTTGGGAAACTGTGTAGCATGTGGCTCATGACGGCAGCCGCGGACGATTTGCCATACTCTCCGTTGGGTAAAACAGCTATGACGACGTTGTGCTTTCCCATGCGTCCCAGCGTATAGTCGTTGGGGTCATGATAAGACCGGCGCGATGAGGTGTTGTGTTCCTCATCGAGAAAGGCCTGAGCGGCGACATATTCCGTCTTGATGGCGCAGATCCACCCTACTGTATAGTTTGAAGACTTCATTTCTTTCCCAGAAACTTCCAGCAGGTGCTATGCGATCTTTATCTCCCTCAGCTAGATTTTGGGGATGAACAAATATTTACGGGGAGGAGCAAGCGTTGGTCCTGTGACAGACTTGGGCTGATGGTAAGGAGGGGGCTCAGCTGAGAAATATTGGCACAAGTCGGCACGCTCGGCTACAGCCGGTGCTACTATCTTGTCTGCTTACAGAGATGTTCTCCGTGGTTGTCTGCCGGCGCCATTGTGCACAAAAGTGCAATATTGGGCAGGATTCATGGCTTAGCGGCTGCAGGCTGCACGTCACCTCGCGAATATGTCTGCTCACATGACCTCTAGGCGTACCAGACGTGATCAGCTTGTTCTTCAAGCCATCCCTAGCCTATGTTTTTGTTAAGATAATCTGTAAACTATCAACACATACCTATCTTTGCGCTTGGCCTGGTGGATTCAGCGGTGGCTAAGGCAGGGGGAGGTAGCGAACTGTCGAGATGGACGAAGACAATTTTTTTTTTTTTTTAAAAAAAAACGCGAGAACTGGAAACATTCAAGGAGAGCTTCAGAACCATAAGGCTGATGCTGCCAAGGCTCACACGTCAGGTAGAGGCCAGGCTCACATCAGCCCCGAGAAGTTGGCCAAGATGCTCGAGGCATCAGGTAGTTCTGTGCGGTGATTCTGGCATTGCTGAGAACAAAACCCATCATCAAGTCAAAACAGGGCGTTTTGCCATGCTAGTTGTTATCCAACGTCAATTTGCCTGGCGGTCATTATAGCGACACTGTCGAGCCCGGAATATTGGAGTTTATTCGCTGGCTGCAGGTTCGCTTGGCATAGAACTAAGTCGATAGTTGGAAGAAGTGAATAGGCGGAGAGGCCATGTATAGAAAGAATCCTACTAATGCTGAGAAGGAAAAGTAAAGTTGGCAAGAAGGGTAGATTGGACATGAAGCTTCGCACTTGCATTTCATCACGTGAGAGCGGGAAGCTCCTTCCCGCTGTGTGGGCAAGCTGTATGGGCAAAAATCACATAAAATATATTGACCGCAAGCTATGCATCATATCCTTCAATGATTAGGCCTACAAACCCAGGTTATTTACCCATGACATGACCTGGGATGGCGTCTGCTGCCGACCGCCTGCGCTTGATCGCCGTTGGCTGGTGTGCGGGACTCGGAAAACACGGCCAACCAGCCATTGACGGCTTGTTTCAGACTTCCAGCCACCACGTTTGTGCAGCGTCAATTGGGTTTGGTTGGCTTGCCGCCTCCCAGCAATCAAGCAAGCAGGGACAGGAGAAAAAAAAGCAATGATAGGCCAACGGGCAGCGCCATGGGAGAGGGAAAAAGAGGATCGGCCGGTGCCGTGCCGTGAGATGCCTCTTGGCAAGCATAGGCCTGGCTGACGCGTCCATTCCTGCTGACGACCGACAATTTTATCCGTTCCGCAGAGAGCGGTGGGAAAAGACCAGAATTTCTCTTCGTCCTTGGGTTTCGAGACCTGAAAGCCCACTCCCCGGCCAGTCTTGCTCCCCTAGCCCGGATCACCCCTCGCGGTAGGGCTGAAGCTGCGGTGAGCTCCCTTCGTTCTCCTTCCTTTCTTCCTCCCGGAGCCAGATCAGATCGGCCCCACACACATCACCTCTGATTTCAGATTCTACATTCCAATCTCTCCTTTGTCTGTTCAATTCAGCGCCATTGGCCTTTGGCGAGAGGATTTATCATCTCGAGTCGACCTGGGCGAAACGGCCTTGCTTCTGGCGCTGGTCTGGAGTACGCCTGGTCCGGGATTGGCTTCACCTACTCGGCAAGATGATGAGGTACGGGCCCGGCACCCTGACTCCTGCCGGAGCTCCTCATCCTTCCAATGACAAGTATGTCATTGTCTATGACACGGAGAAAGTTGGTGAGTCGGTCGCAGTCCCCCATTGCTCCTCCATCGCCGGTCTCCCATACTAAGTGGATTAGATAGCGAAAGGGCACAGAGAGACCTGACGAATCTGCTCACTGATTTGGAGACTGCCGGTTTATATACCGAGGTCAGGCCTGGCTACGACATGACAATTCTGATTTTCGCCAAAGCCCCCAAGGAATTGCTGGGTAACGCTGTGTACAAGTCAAGGTATGTCGGGTCTTCATCTTGACTTATTCACCTCTTTGGCGTCCTTTCATCGCTCACACGGGCAAAGAGTCAAGGACTGGCTATTTGGCATCATCACTAGACATCCCGGCGGCAACAAAGACACCGTGGTCGATGGCGCGTACGAGGCCGAGGATATTCTTTCCGTCTATCACCTCGTCAGCTGGCCTAAATCTCTTGGTGGTGCTGGTATCACCCCCGGATGGGGCCAGTGGGAGCATGTCAAATCCATTTTCCCACTCCATAACGAGACAAAGAATCAGGCTCTGTTGAAGCATCTTAGCAAGCGACTGGTTTTAACCATGGAAGATCTTGACCAGATTCGGGATTTATTCGGGACCAAGGTGAACAGAACCATCAATTCAGCTGTGAAGTGTATTTGTAACTGACATGGGGACTCCATACAGGTTGCATTCTACTTTGCCTTTATTCAGACTTACCTGGTACTGCTTACTTTTCCCGCCGTAACAGGCTTCATCACCTGGTTCTTAGGTGCACGGTACTCACTCACCTATGCCATCACCACCTGTGTCTGGTGTACCTTCATGGTCGAATACTGGAAGATTCAACAGACGGATCTGAGCATTCGGTGGGGCGTTCGAAACATCGCGAGTGCCAAAGTGAACAGACCACAGTTCCAGTGGGAGAAGAGCTGGGTTGACGAGACTGGCAGGACGCGGTATTACTTCCCTCGATGGAAGCTGGTACTTCGCCACCTGCTGCAAATCCCGTTCGTTCTTCTCGCTACAATTGCGCTTGGAGCTATCATCATCGCCGTGTTCGCGCTTGAGATTCTCATCACTGAAGGGTACCAGGGACCCTACAAGACTGTTGTGGTATGCTTATCTACGCTTGCTGATCGAATGAGGATAAACTGACGGCCAGCTAGGAGTTTCTCCCCACTATCATGCTCGCACTGGCGTTGCCGGGAATCAGCGGATTTCTTGAGTCAATTGCCGATGCCATGACTGACTTTGAGAACCATAGAACAGCAGATACCTACGAAATGTCTCGCACACAGAAGCGATTCATCCTTAGTGGCATCACTAATTACTTGCCCATCTTGGTCACAGCCTTTGTATATGTCCCATTTGGAGAGAGGATCATCCCCTGGCTAAGCCTCAAGACTAGGGCACTCTTGGGGCCCCTGGGGCCCAGGGTCTTCTTTGATGAGAATCAGGCCTTCAACGTCGATTCGGGCAGACTGCGCGACGAGGTCATCGCGCTCGCTTTGACGGGTCAAGTGTCCTCCTTCTTCGAGGAAAATATTATCCCTGTCGCGAAGAGAAAGTTCTCGGGCTGGTACCGTGACTACCGCGCTGCTCACTACAGCGGCAACGCCATGATTGCCGCGGCGGAGAAGGACGATCCTCTTGAAGCCGAGTTCCTGCTCACTGCCAGAAACCAGGCCACGCTGGATACCTACAACGTTCAGGATGATATCGCCGAGGTTGTGATCCAGTTCGGATACCTGGCCCTCTTCTCCCCCGTCTGGCCCCTTATCTCGATCGGATTCCTCATCAACAACGTCATCGAGCTGCGCACCGACTTCCTCAAGATCGTCACTGAGCAGCAGCGACCCGCGCCCGTGCGTAGCGACGGCATCGGCCCGTGGATCAGCTCGCTCGACTTCCTGACCTGGGCGGGTAGCATTACGACGGGGGCCATCGTCCACCTGTTCGGCGCCAACAGTATCGCAGGGGGCGCGTGGTGGGCGCTCCCCATCACGATATTCATCAGTGAGCACATCTTCGTCGCGCTGCGGGCCATGGTGCGGTTTGTGCTGCAGCGGATGGGGTCCAAACACATCCGTAAGGAGCGCAGCGAGAAGTATGCCGTACGGGCCAAGTACCTGGAGGAGATGGAGGCGAACAAGCAGGCTGGGGCGAGACTGACGGTCGCGGAGAGGGATCGCAGGAAGTCAATCCGCGCTTTTGGCGGTGACTCGTTCTTCACGAAGCAGATTGAGGATGGGGCGAGCGCCCTGGTTGCTATAAGCTTGGTACAGGCCTGTGGGAAAGATGGCCACTCGCAAGAAGGAGCAGCGGCGGATAGTAAAAAGGAGATTTGACAAGAGAGCGTATTCCTAGACAAAATAGTGAATGGTACGTCTCACGTAGGCTTCATCTGAACGTTACTTTGATTCTAATAATTTTCCGGACTGTTATATATATCTGCTATTTAATCATAGAAAATACTAGCCTTCTATTCCCAAGGCCTAACTCCCTCATTTATTTATATCAATTTCTTTTCCCTCCTTAAAATAATTATAAATCAAAGGCAACTAAGGGACCAGGATCGCCGTAGATACAGGCAATCAGATACCGAAGCTTTGTATTATTGCTAGTAGGTAGTGTAAAGAAGGCGAAGGAGATCAGTAGCCAGTCTACATATTAACCAGGTTAGTTTGTACAGGAAATGTAGAATTTTAATGTTAGTTTTAATCATGAGAAGGGGAGCCAAGGTTCTCTAGTAATTAAGAGTAGCTATAAAGTTATTCTTTAGCTTCCTCTCGATCGTATCGTATCGAGTAAACAGTGACACGGTTGGTCGGTGAACTCGAATGCTTACTTCCCGGATGTGTCCAATGAGGAAGACCCGGCAGTCGAAGAGCAACACAAAAGAAACCTTATCGTCTTGAGGGCCAAGGGGATCAAGGGGGTGAACTAGAAACGCCACAGGAAGAAATTTCACCAAGAGATGGCGACAACTCTAGATAGTTCTAGATATTTTGCATCAGTAGTCGCAGGGAAACTGAGGTTGACCGGGGTGTCTGCCGTATGCGCAGCTCATGGCGGCGTGTTCTAAGCAGACAAGCGAGTGACATAAAAAATGGCATGCCCAGAACCTTGAGCGTTGAGTTCAGTGTTGAATTTCAACACAATATCAAAACAATTAATTAATAATGTTTGTAATATCAAGCTAAATCCTGTAGAATAATAATGATTAATATTCTTATTATTTTGTATATTGTTGGACGGATCTTTCGAGGGAGCGAGATACAAATATCCAAAAAGGTCGACTTATTCTCATGAACATCGTGCTCTAGCAGGATTCCTTGAAGAAGCCTCCGAGGCAGAGATTCAAGCATCCCTCTTTTTTCACCGTAAAGGAGGCTCCGGACACCTGACCTGGTGGTTCCATATTGTTGCAACCCTTCAATGAAATACGAACTGCGCGAGATCCGTTAGTAAGCTGGAGGACGTGGCCTCACTCAGGACTCACTCAACAATATCTCGGAGAAGGTTGATAACTCTTCAATGTGAGGCGACTCAGGGTCCAATTCGTCGACAACTTCAGCAGCCGCGCAAAATGCCACCATCCTGAGAGCGAGCCACTGATACTCTATCATAAGCCTCGTCTTTTCCACGTCCTCTGGCCTAAATCGAATATTGAGTACATCTCCTGTAATTAGTGGCCGATGGTTCGCCATACGGCAAAGTGTTATGCCGTTGGTGCTGGCGCTGGCGGTGCGAGTTGAGTCCAAACATTCTTTAATGGCAATGGCCATCCCTGGTGATCCGTACCAAAATTTACGGCTTCCCCCATGCAACCTTTAGTAGAGCCTTTTCCACCGAGGTAAGCCTGCCCAAAAGCTTCTGGGATTCGATTTGTGAGCCAGTGCTATCGGAGCTTTACCTCAAGGTATCCAATGTCTGGCTCGACGCCCTCGACGCCAATCCATTCCAGAGCAAAATATCCCTTGTTCCAGAGGGCATGAGCCAGATGATTCAGGCCAGCATGTTGCAACGCTTATCTGATGTTCCAATCTTCCGACGGGGAACGACCAGCGCCTCTGGTGCGAGCTAATCTTTCTCGGACATAAGAGGCGCGATCACGAGGAGGAAAATATCCCGTGCGGTCTTAAGCTTTGAGGTAGTGTTATTAACCGTGAACGGGAGTATATGGCAAACTTGAGACCCAGCGCAGTTTGTTGCGCTGCAATTCGCATCTTTGCTCCGGGCCTGATGAGGATTGGAGTTTGAAAGAGGGTATTCCTAGACAATCAAGTAGATAGCACAGGAAATGGCACACCCAAACGAAGATCCAAATAATCAACTAAATAAACACAGAATAAACATACAAATATCTAAATAAGTAAGTTATTCTGGATCGAGATTAGAGAATATTAATATTGAGGCCTGAATATTGTGTTTCTTTAACCTGGCGTATCTCACCCACATGCCCTCGTTGATGTCACTCCCAAGAGTGCAAAGAAGGCGAAGGAGGCCAGTAGCCAGTGTATACTTATCAATTTAATGTGTACAGGAAATCTAAGATTTTATTGCTGAGAGTGACCGGGGTATCCGCCATATGCGCAGCTCATGGCGGCGGATTCTGGGCAGACTATGCGACAATCGCCGTGATCCCTGAGGAGAACTCCAAAACCTAGACCGAGATTTCCTTGATTTGTGTATGATCAACTTCCCAGTCCCCCCCCCTCGCATGCCTCATCGCCATCAGTCCCCTTATCCTTGACATCATGTATAACTAAGCTGCCTGTGTCATCTCGATCTGTGAACTCGTCATCGGAAGCAAAGGAGTCTGAGACACCCTCGCTCTCAGATTCTGTGTCATATTGAAAATCGGCATCCGAGAGATCATGATCTGAAATATCCCCATGGATTAAACATGATATCCCATTATAATCTTCTCCCTCTCCCTCTTCTCTTTCTTCCAAAGTATCTTGGTTAGATGGCTGATTGCCGTCGCCATTGCTGGACTCAGCAGGGCTGGGATCGTCTCCTCCACATTGATTCTGTAAAGTTGGTTGTTAGTAAGACGATAGCACTCAGGCTGATGAGAGATGGAGAATACCAGACTCAGAGCCTTTCGAATCCTCCTCAGCCTTCTCTCATGTCCATCTCTTGCTCTAGCAAGGCGGACATTGTTGAGCGCTCGGTCAACGCGATGGGCCTCAAGGACTAAGCCATGAATCGTATCAAAACCGGTATATTTGAGCCAGCTGTAGTTGTCTGAAGACATGTAGGGCGCACAGTATTCGGAGAAATGAACGAGAAACTGATATCGGTCGTGTTCTCTTGACAAAGTGTGGTGGACTTAGGAGGATCCTGGTTGCGCAGATGCAAAAAGTGATACCCTAGGTTGCTTTGGCTGCTTAAAAAAAACGCCTAAATGTTTTGAAAGACGTAGCTTGGGGCGTCCGGTTTGAACTGATAGTGAGTTAAGGCAGATGGGTTGTTGGGCAAGTTGTTTCTGAGATTGTCCTGAGAGCACAGATGTTTTGAGTCCTTGATTACATGTGGCCGCCAGGGAGACCACCTTCAAGTAAGGTAGAAGCTTCTGTCTCTGTGCCAATTGCCATGGAATTTCAGCCTCACCGCCTTCGCATATCAGACCTTCGAGACCCCAACCAGCGCCGGTGGTGGCAGTAGCTTCAACCTTTCTTCCAAGCAAAGCCCTCAACAGGAAAAAAACGAAGAGGAGCGACGCACCTTTTAGAAGGTACCATTACCTACGCGGCGAATTCACGTAGTAAAATCTCCCCGAATCTTTCGACTGATCGGCATAAATTTTCCAACAAATCATTTAGGCATGGTTCGACCGATCTTAGAATCTCCAGCTGCGGGAGACCAAGCTCTGGAACAGAAAGCGCGACAGTTTAGCATGATTTCGAGAGCATCGAGAGGGTTCAACTTCAACCAAGACCTAGCAAACGACTACTTATTCTCGGGATTAGCTGTTCAACCTCGAAACGCAAGTTCATTCTCAGAAGAGAAAGAGGAGTTTGCACGTTGCGCGGCCAACCGTGAAGATCTCACCCGCGCTCTCCATCTTCCACCCACCGATTATCCAATACCTGCCCCCCTTTCTTCACTTGATATCCCTCTCAAATTTGCTAAACAGATACGGGTTGGCAAGGAGATGGTGGACCTTTCTGAATATTTGAAAAGTCCAGAATTTCTCACACTCTTGGTACGCTTCCCGCCGATTGTCTGCCTCTTGACCTTCCACACTGCTAACTGTGGCCCTCCTTAGCGAGACATAGAGGCACCTTCTAAACTAGATGAATTTCAGAGAACAACGAGATGGTACCGGTCTATTGATGTGACTAAGGCTTTGCGGATGGCCCTGTCTCCTTTCAAAGGTGGCTTCCTTCGTAATGAATGGGGCCACAACGGGGCCCTTACGGCAATCTTGACTGCACTTGAGTTGCAAGTTCGGATACGCCCGAGATGTAGCTTCATTCTTATTGTATGCCCCGAAGTCTCACTGACGGAATGGGTGGCCAAAATCAAGGGACGATCTATGCCGGTATGCCTTCAATATCGGAGAAATAAACCTTTTGCATCAAGTAGAAGCTGACACTTAGGTGAAGACGTGCAAATATCTGATCTTGCGGCAAGCTGAGTACCCAATCACTAAGCTACTCGAGTACGACATCGTTATCTGCACTGCCGATTTCATGACGAAGCGATACGCAGATTGTCTACCCTATCTTCATCGCCAGGCAGCAGATCGAGCCATGGTCGCGAGCGGAAAAGACGTACCGGATACTGTCCTTCCGCGAAATTATCGTCGAGTCTATATGCCACTTCATTCACGCTTGTATGATCCCGGGCAACTGGACAAGAATATTGCAGTCCTCATACTGGACGACAGCCATCGTATCGGAAAGACCAACTCGGATTTATATCAAGCCATCCGGCAATTGCGTTACCATCACGCGCTTTTGATCACGGCTGGCCCGAAGGACGGCAAATCGCTTGACCTCACAAGGCAGATGGGGCTTCTCCCCGGTGGCGGACCGTTTCTCGGTGAAGGGCATATGGATCTTGTTCTTGGCACTGAGGGCAAATCAATCAACGAGAGAAACAGGGCTCGAAAGAAGCTTTATGAGAGGCTTGTATCGGCTCTGACAGTCTAGCATTATGTGAGCGACCTGAGTCTCCGTGATGATAACTGAGGTATGATAAAACCTATCCAGGGCCAAATAGACTGTGGAATGGCGGTCACTCTTGGGAGAGGTTGGATCTACACTGATGAGGTTTGGTTTGTGAAACTCAAGGACTTAATATAACGTCCTCATACAATGAGGGAGAAGAGAAAATAGAAGGGCATAATACAGATGCCGAATTTAGGAATTCTCAGGAGCATTGACAAATATCTTCGGATAATAAATTTCCTTGATTAAACCTCCTTCTCCACTATAAGAAATCTTCCAAGTCCCGTCGGATTATCGAGCCCCTACAAGCCTGGCTCCCCATGTACTTTCATCTCTCAGCTTGATAGGCTGATTGTATTCACTAGACTTTCCTCACCAGACGAATCATTGGTAGTTGAATGAGAAAGAATATTGATGGTAACAGCCTCCTCCTCACATACCTGACATCTCCTCATTCTCTGCAAACCCGGAAGCCTGTCCATCCTTTTCATTCCCATCCTCAGCGAGAGAATCTTCTACCTGGAAATCGTGGGCCAAAGCTTGCATACGTTTGATTGAACTGGCCTCTACCTCAGCAATCATGGCTATGAGGCTTGAAAGACTGGCTTTCTCTTGCATAGTGAAATAATGTATAATGTGTGATACGTGCTCCGAGGCCTCGTTGACGTCGGTCGCGTTCATCAAACGTTGGATGTGCTCCGGTAGCCCATATCCAGAGGGCATGGTTGGTCGACTCGGATACGCACTTGAAATGCATTCAATTCTCTCGGTCATGAGCTGAATGAAGAGCCGGAGCTCCTTAATATGCTGCTGTATTTCTGTGAGCGCTACCGCTCCCGGGGACCCTGTCTTGATTGGAACCATCAGAAGATCAATATCACTGGCAGCTGATCTCCGAGCTGTTAGGTAAGCAGTAATAATGTCGCCTTTTCGTTGAGATTTAGAGTAGACGGAAGAATGTTCCTTAAACCTCTCATATTGAGTGCAGAATGAAGATATGAACTGTTGGTATCTATTTCTTTGTAGAGTAGGATACTCTCCGAGGACTTTGGTACGAAGTCCGGTGCCTAGCTGATACAGCGCAGCACCAGTGACCGCTTGTGGAAGATCATGGGGCGTAGCAGCAGACCAGATGCTCTATGACCACTATTAGAATGATGCCTAAGTCTGGTTGGAAATAGGATAGGACGTACCTTGTACGCGGCTGCAGCCTTATCAGCCTCTTCCCGAGTGAGCTCCTCATCACCGGAGATCAGGTTGACGATCAGTTTCATGCCCTTCTTCTGGGAAGTGCCATCTGACTGACAGCCCAGTGCTTGGTCAAGCTGCAATAGCATATGGTTAAGATGTTCTGGATTTTCCGAGTGCTTGTAGCAAGCCAGTGATTTCTTCAGATTTGAAACCACGCACTCAAAGCGGCTTTGTTTCTGAGTGAACTGCTCCCCGACGGCTGAAAGGTGGAGGGCTGGGATATGGGCGTTGTTTTGCCGAACAAATGTCAAACAGAACTCATTGATCTCGTTCTTCCAAGCTTTTTTTTGCACCTCTGTGTAGAGGGTGCGGTAATTGATCTTGGCCCATTCTCGATAATAGAAAGTTTTCTCCTCATGCCAACTTGGAAGAGAACGGAGGGAGCACAATCCGTCTTTCTTGTTTGCAAGGACATATAATCGTCTTAGAGGGTCTTTGAGTAAACAGACCACGATGCGTATGTCGTCGGGATCTATGACCATAATGGCATTCTCGATAACTTGGGACAAATCGGTGGGCCAACTTGTCCGCGCACTGTAATCCAATTTAAGCCCGAACGGTAGAAGTTCGCCAACGACGACAACGAGCTGGTCCATGGGGACACCGAATACCTCTGTCTCTCGCCTACCAAAGGATTGCCCAGCCTCAGAAGGATCATAATCGTCCTCATCTCCGCTACCAGGGTCAGGCCATTTTTCAATTTTGCCGTTACTCTCACGCTGGACCCGAATAACGCGTTTCTCCAGCCGATCCGGTCTTCCTGTGTCGTAGACATAGAGTTCGGTATTGATCGCTAATTCAACGGGCAATATCGGGGGCTCCCTTTCGGAATTTGGAAAGAGGTCAGTGTAATAGTTCATCTTGGCATGGGATTCCACACTCCGGCTGGTTCCTTCGCGCGTAATTGCTCTCTTAGTATTTTGATTGGGTTTCGATTGAAGAGGAAGGATAGTTGGGTTTTGGAAACACGAGAGAGGAGGAGAGTATCGATAGAGGGCGAGAGAAGAAAACGAGAGGTGGAGAGCGGGAGAAGGTGGCAGAAAACAGACCATGCAGAAAACTTGGAAATCACTTTGAACTGAGGAGTTGGTACCTGAGGCATCTCTGGTATTGGCCACTGAAGTACCCGACATAACAGACGTGTCTCCGTTCATTCACGCCTTAATACACGCATCTGCTTGACTTCTACTAGATAATTTCGGATATCTCACAGAAGAAAAGATGTCCTTTCTAACCAAGCGGCTCACCAAAGGTATGGATGGCTTGCTTCCCAGGTTTCGGCAGACTACCTAACCCTGAATACTAGACCAATCCCTTGCCCTTGGCAGAGTTGCAAAGCAAGTTCGGCAATCATTAGATGGAGGAAGTCTCGTTCCTGAGCTTCCTCAATCAGTTCACGGCCTGCTTCGCGAACCCACCGAAACACACGCGCCAGATGAAACGCTAAGGAAGCAATATGAAAAAGATCTTATTGCCATAAAGCACAAGGTGATGGAAGTGATGAATCAAGGCGGTGAGCGAGAGAATTTTTGCGAAGAGGTCGACAGGCATCTGGATCAGCTGTCCAATCCCAAGGCCCGAGCTGTCGACGCGGCGGCGAGAAGAGAGGAAAACATTTCAGCTGGTGTTCACGTTGAACTTGTCCAAGATATAATCACATCAAAGGTTGTATCTGCTGATAGATTGACTCGAAGTATCCGTGGGCCACGTTTACTTGTCCGCCCGAAGCGTCAACTGCCTTCGACTGAATCATCTTTTTGTGACCCTCCGGAGCCCGAGGCGCCTTTGCTGGATGATCCCAATACAAACGCTGGGCGTGATAACATGGCTGCATCCGCACTCTCTGCACCTCAAGCTCATCAGGTGACCGCTACCTCAAATGTCATAGTCATCCCTGACGAGGAGGATACGTTAGGCAGCATCGCCTCTGCTTCGTCCCAGCCGACTTCGAATAGACATCCAGTCTCAGCCCCAGATGCCCCAACTTTATCAAAGCTTGACAATACCTCTGCTATGGCCCAGCCAGTAATTTCAGGATGCTCATCTGCGGCTTCAGCTGTCCAGTTTCTTGCCGGAACAGATACTACAGCAGCGCAGGCGGTGGACCAACAAAGTCGAATCTCCGCCACAAAAGATCCAATCTCACTCGACGAAGAAGGTATACTTGCCCTGCAGAAACAATCGGAAGATCAAAGGGTTGTGAGACATGTGTGTCAACAGACAGCGCGATCTCCTCTTAGAACGAAGCAATATGGGCGTCAATCACTCTCCCGACGGTCTCCATCTCACCCGACGGCTGGACATTGGGCCAAGAGGCGGAAAATCATACCTGAGAAGCTGGCTCGAGACGCGCATCCCATCTTAACAAACAATAACAGCCTTACTGGCCCCGGCGGTACATCCAACTCGGTTGGGATCACGCAGTTTCCTTCTGGCTCTGAGCAGGTGGATATGGAAGCAGAGGCTCGGGATACATCCACGATCAGCTTGCCACCACACCTCAACAGTTCAAGACCTATCCGAGAGTTGGGGCCACAGAACCCTGAAGGACGAGCTGGCATAGAGCCGCGAGATCCCAACCCGATTAACTGCGATGGACCAAGCAATCATGGACAAAGGCTCGAACTCGAACCGCCGATAACAGACCTGCAGGCGGTTGCACAGCCGAAAAGCGAGGAACTGGGCACTGCCGTAGGGTTTAAAACCGCTGGAGGTGATAAAGAAATGAGTTACACTCGAAGTCTTCTCCGGAAACTTGTGGAAGTCATTAAAGAAGTTGACGTTCAGAAGATGGCCTCCGAGACACAGTCAGATACTCAGGGGGAGGACCCGGCAGAGACAGATGCCATATATTCAATGTATGTGCAGTTCAATGAGATACTGCATAAGCAGCGAAGACGTTAGAATTGAGGCCAGTTCGTTGGGAAGGCATTTGCATCTTAAATTTTCTTGTCTAAGGCAGACTTGATTCTAGCATGGTGGCTAATGATAGCAGAATAGGCCAAGTTGGTCCCAATTTGAACCCTGGGAGTATCTCAAAGATGTATGGTTTTAATGATAGACATTGACTTGCCAGCAAGAGCTCATAAGCGGCGACAATATATAGTAAACTGCTATTCATGCTGATCAGGCTGGTTGGCACGCGCGTACTGCTTCCTCTTGAACGTCCCCCAGCTTCCAATCTAGCTTAAGTCGAGCTTTGTGTGGCTGGTTCGAATTTAAGCGCCGCTGGAATGGGGTTTCAAGGCTCTTTCACAAACAAATACTGTGGTTTTTCTAATAAATGTGACATATGATAAACTCTGTGAACTCCTATGAACCTCTGCTCGTACAAGTAGCCACCTGATAAATAGGCAAGGTAGGCATTGTTGTTATTGTTGTTGCTGCTTCTGCCTCTGCCTGAGGCATCTGCACGCGTCTACAACTTGCTTTCTTGCGTAAAGCTCGCTTTTTTCTCTTTTCTCTTTCCTATTGTGAGCTTCTACATATTTAATCCACCCATTCTTCAGCACAATTCTACTTACCTACTCAAGTTGGTTCACAATATCCCTTGAGTCGAGAACATTTGGCAAGCATGCCATATTCCATCCTCCATATCTTCTTTTTTTTTTTTCAACTTGAAATCGCTCACTAGAACAAACCCTACTCAGTTCCTTCACCCGTTCACGCTACACAAGTCTTGAATCCCAGCATATCGACGCGTCGCTGGGTTCCAAGATTACCATCGCAAATCAGCGGACATGACTTCGACAACAGTCGCCGGAGTCTCTTGGAGCAGGCTTCCAGCAGACATATTATTCAGAATTTTGGAGCTTCTGCTTGATGACGATACTAGTTGCGCTGGAGCTGCTGCCGTGTCGCGACAGTGGCAGGCGGTCATAGAGCCACGTAATTTCGCCAGAATCAAAGTCACGCCCTCACGTCTTGCTGATTTTGATTCCATGACTTACCGGAATCGGCATCTCGTGAGATATCTGTGGCTTTGCCTGGAACTTGAGGAGTACAGCTCCATGTTGTCGGACCTCACGAATGCTGATAATCATCTGATCGCTACATCTTTCCAGACACTCTTCGAAAATCTAAGTTCTTGGGATCCGCATGGAAACTTGACACTTGATATTAGTATACATTCACCCTCTGACGCGAAGGGTGAATCCGATTATTTGACTTTCGAATCTGATATCCCTGCCTGCGAAATAGACCACGACAAGTGGGCAGGAAAAGAAATACAACGTCGGCGTGTGAGGAGTATTGACCACCTGGCACATTTTAGCTGCCTCATGAGAGAGCTCCCAAGCCAAGGACGTCTAGCAAAACAGCAATCCTTGAAAGAATCCAACTCCTTGAGAGATTCTTGGTTAAGAGGAGAAGAATTTGACTTTGAGAGTAGCGTAATGAGAATCCAAGAAGCAGATGCGCGGGACCCGGATAATCTGCTTGAGCCGGGGCATATAATATGGCAGAGATTGCCAACCGTGCCAGCGGTTACCAGTGTGCTTCTTCGTCAACAAACCCGTCGAATATGGCCTTCGAAGCAACTTTCAAGGTTATTTTCACGGCTTCCAAGGATCCAGGAGATCCACTATGAACCGTGGAGAGAATGGTTGGACCATCAAGACTTTAGGGACAAACGTATGTCGATTCATTCTTGGGATTTTGCACGGACATGAACTAACCTATTCCCTACGTTTCAGAATACAAGGCTCTTGTGCGGTCCCTTCCACACACTTTGAAGACCCTGGTATTGTTTGAGAATTTCAATCAGCACTATATAGCTCTGTATCGCAACAGCCCGCTTGTTCGAGCTCCGAGTCTCAAGCTTAGCCAGGCGATAGCCAAAGTCAGTCTCAACCTCGAATGCCTGTCGGCATCGTATTTGGTAGATGCCAGTTTCTTTTTTGATGCCTACGAGTCTTCCGGGCTTTGGCCTCATCTGAGGTCGATTGCGCTTACTGCTCAGTCGCTGAGTCCCGATGCAAGCAAAAAGACGATCAACGCGCTTCTCCAGAAAGCAGCAACTGCAGTTTTACGGATGCCTAAACTCGAGACCTTGGAAATCTGGAACGGAGAAAAGGGTGTGGCGGCTCTCTTGAGATATCAGCCCTCGCGCGCTACTCTCACATGGAGGGCTACATGGGAGCTTGACATATTGAGTTCTGCAATCCAAGCCTTTGAAAAGGTCGGACCGGCTCACTGTGTGGGAAGGTGTGATATTGTCAAGGAACTGCTGGATGTTGGTCTCGTCGCTTCTCATGGTGATGCGATCAATCTCCTAAAGCACGTCTGCCCGATACTTCGGCCGATTTCACTGCAGCAGATCCTAACCGAGGAGAGGTTTCTTGAAACCTGAGGAAAGAATTCCACTTTGAAACCCTCACGGCGAAAAGTTCTGTCGGAACATGCTTGGGCTTGGTGTATTCTGGCGTGACCGTTGTCTTCTGTAGTGGAGGAAACGATTTTTATGGTGTTTTATTGCGCAATAAAAACATGAAGTCTGGATGCGCTGAAAGAGCGCGCGATGTTCGCTCTTAAATCTCATTGATTCTTGTCCCTTGAGACTTCCAGTGGGATCAAGTCGACCTAACTGATGTGGTCTGGCCGTCTGCTGTCTATCCCTTTTCCGTAACAAGATAGTCAAATCAAAACAATTCTTTCAATGTTCATTTAAGTAGTGAGATCGTAGCGGACAGCCTTTTGTCGGCTTTGTTCTTGCTCAAGGTGGGTGTTGTGCGTGAGCCCTCACCTCGCTGATCACTGCTAGATAAACACATATTCTGAAGACAAACCAACTGGTTGCTAGTCGTATTAGAATCACACTAAGCGCTGTGTCTGGTTTCAAAAGCTATTTATTACTTTAGTGGTATATTCTCGGGTATCTTATATTCATCATCCCCCGGTGTACGTGGACACCGACACCACAGCATCCAAAACACACTCCTTAGGAATTCATATCAACCACCACAACTCAAATGCCTGAAATTCTCGCTCCAAAAGACTACTCTCCCAGCTGAAAAGTACGGGAGAACATGCTTGCTACTTGGTAAGGACACTCATCTCTCAAGCCTTGGCCTGCTCAGCATGACTGGCAGTCTTCTTAGCACTCGCAGCAACGGACTCGAACTGGTACAGGGGAGGACAGACGGCATCCTTGTCCCAGAAGCGGCCGAGGAGGATCCAGCGCTTGAACCAGAATGGGAAGGCTGTGAAGGCCTGGTAGCGGGCGAACTTGCCAACGGGGACGGCGAAGACCCAGTCGAGTTCCTCGAGAGTGCGCTGCATCGTCTCGGGGACCCAGAAGAAGATCATTATCAGGGCGACGATGTTGAGACCGGCATACATGCCGAAGGCACCCACGGCATGGGCACGGTCAAGTAGGAAGGGGAATGTGATGGACAACACGGCGGCCCAGAACAGACAGGTAGCGACGGCAAAAGACATGCCGACCTCACGGTGAGATAGAGGGAAGACCTCAGCAGAGTATGTGAAGGGGACTGGACCTTCACCGGGAGAGTAGAAGGCGCCGAAGAGGTACACGAACAGGCAGATGAGACCGATCCTCATGTCCTTGTTAGCCTCGGTGTTGGGGATCAGAGTGCAGAGACCAGCGGCAAGCAGGGTCCAGAACATCTGAGGGAATGTGAAGAGGAGCAGACTTCGGCGCCCAAAGGTGTCGATGGTCCAGAAGGCGGGGAAGCAGAAGAGCCAGTTGACCATACCAAAGCCGAAGGATCCGACGGTGGCGATGAAGGCAGACATGCCGGACTCGCGGAAGATGGTCGTGGAGTAGAAGGCGATGATGTTGATTCCGCACATCTGCTGGGCAAGCATGACAGTGAAGGCGGCGAGGGTGGCGCGGCGGACACGGGGGATGGTGAGCAGCTGGCCGAAGCGCGTGGCGTAGTTGGTCTCCCCGACGATGTTGTTCTCAATCTCGAGCTGAGCGCTGATGTAGTAGATGTCGCGAGCGACCTGGATCTCGTTGAATCGGAGCTTGTTCATGGATTTCCAGGCATCTTGGTAGCGACCCTTCTTCATGTACCAACGAGGGGACTCGGGGCAGAAGTAGATGAGGACAAGAAGAGGAACTGCGGGAAGGAAGGGCTAGACATTCAATTAGCTCTTGTACTTCTTGAATGATATAGAATATGCTTACAGCGCCCAACATGTATCGCCACTGGTTTTTAACGTAGAAGATGGCCAGGTTGAAGGCGGTTCCTGTGAAACATCACGATCAGCAACAGAACAATGAGACAAGAAAGAAGTTTAATTACCAAGCATGATGCCAAAGGCGGTCCACATCTCTGTAAGCTTTTGTTAGTTATTCATCGCGATGTTTTGTTGCAGAACGAGTGAGTGTTCACTTACGCCACGACATGACTAAAGCACCACGGATCGACGCGGGGGAGTTCTCAGCGGCGTAGATGGGCACAGTAGAGGCCTTGACACCCATTCCAATACCCATCAACAGACGACAGGCAAGCTGTTGTCCCCATGTCTCGCAGAAAGCAGAGCCAATGACGGGCCAGATGCAGAAATGAGCAGAGAAGAAGATGACACCGCGACGACCAAAGATGTTGTTGATGGGATCAGACAGCCAGCAACCAATGAAACTAGCGCGAAAGTGTTAGAAAAATTGAATATACAGGCTGTACGCTGAGATTATCAACTTACGCAGAACCGATGTAAGGACCAGCGTTGACAATACCAACGAGAATACGAGAGCGGACAGAGTCATCGCCGATGCCGTAGTACTCAGGGAAGAAGATGTTAGCACCGTTGGAACCAGTCTGGTCCCAACCCTGGACAGCAGCGCCGATGGAGCAGGTAGCGATAGTGAGGAACAGGCGGGCGGGCATGCGCCACTTGTGGGTGACCTCCTGCTCAAGGACCTCGAGCTCGGCGGGCTCAAGCTTGAACTCGCCGTCGATCTCGGCAGCTCCAGCAGGGTTCTGGGCGACGAGGGCACCCTTCTTCAGGACGTGGATGTGCTCAGTCAGGCCCCGGTACTCGGCGAAGGCCTCGACATCGCGCATGAGCTGGTCGTGGGGGATTCCCGCGAGGGGGTTGCGGATCTTGGCCTCGAGGTTCTCGCTCATCTCGACCCGTTCTTCGGCCGTGATGTGCTTCTCGAGGTGGGCGCCCGAGTGGCCCTTTGAGTCGCCCTCACTAATGGTTTCAGATCAGCATGCTGGAATTGCCTATACTCTGGGTCATGACTTACATGCTACTCATCTTGGGCAGTTTGGCTCAAGTCAATGGGTCTAAGTAAGGGGTCAGAGTATTAATTGAGCTCTCTTATACCAATTCCTGTCGTCGGTCTCACAAGCTCCTTCGAGTTGTAAGGCCAGGCACTTCAGGTGATGAAGAGGTTAGAGGAGATGAGGAGGACAACGTTTCATTCAAAGCGGGAGGAAGGATGGCTATTTGAGCAAATCCGGAGGATGGACATCCCCAGGAACTGATCGTTGCTTTCCCACAGACGACGTTGCTCTGGGCCTCCATGTCGTCCAGGCCACCCCACAGTCTCTTCCCCAAGGCCGGGGCTGGTTTAGCTCAAGCTGGGAGTGTGGGAAAGGCGAGGGATGCCAAGAGGGCCAACTCTTGGCTCAAGTTCCTGACACGAGCAAGGATCCGGTCATTTCATGAGCGCAACTACCAATGAGGTTGCTCGCCTCCGCTACTCTGTCTGCCTCATCCATGCCGTCAATCCCAGTATCTTAAGCCATCGTAGCGCGCCACCAGCGGATTAGCTAAAAAAGACCGAGAGAGTGCCGTTTCTAGATGTATACGGGCACACCCCGTTTGCGTCTCCGCCACTGAGATGTAAGACATAGGAGGAGGGTGTCCTTGATGGGCGTCCTTATACACGCCACCCTTTGGGTTCACCACGAGAGCCGACGAAAATCAAAACCTTGAATTCACTGTTACATTCCCATATAGCTCTCATTCCATTCCCCACACTCAACTCTATCCCCGGTTTACAGGCCTGGCATTGAACCGGTAGCCGTTGTATGGCAGGTGAGGCTCCAATTCCACGTTGCTCCGTACGCTGGTCCGCGCGGCGGCGATGCTGACACCACGTCCAGAGGGCCTTTCTTACTGTCTCACAAAAGATCTACTTCTACATACACATTGGGCAACAATAGCATCGGGCGGAAAACCATGGGATCCAAGCGGCATCAAGCGGAGAGCAATTGGATCCAAGCGGCCTCCAAAACTCGGGCATGCTGCACAGCCAAGTTGATCGCTTCCTATGTAGTACCTAGTAGTGGCACTCATGCACGTGAGTTACCCAGAAGCAGACAGACCGGGAGGCCGCCATGTGGTTGGCTCAATGACCCATTGGAGACCTCTTGGGATACATGGTACATACCGCGTGATGAGCATGGCTTCGTCCAGGCAACAGAATTTCGAGACACCTCACTGGCTGCTTTGGAATGTCATGGCCGGAGCCGGAAACAAGGCCAGGGACCCCCGCGTTGCCGAAAGTAAGTGTAGCGGCAAGCTTTGACCTCTTCCGTAGAGTCAGCGGAAGAACAGCAGTGAGATGCGGCTTCCCGACTTTTTCAAATATTGATACTATGGTTGAGTAGTTGTAGATGTAGAGAGACTCCGAGTTGGCAGGAGATTAATCCATCAGGACGCTGTCTTGTGGCGCCGGTTATTTGCATCCAGCTCCCATATGCCCATCCTCATTTGCGTTTCAGGGCACTTGGTGATGATCAGCGCTCCGAATTGCCTTATTAAAATATGCATATGTGTTAATCTCACGTTTATCTCTCTTAAAGCCCTTGTCCAGTGGCGGGTAGCAACCGCAACACTCCAGGGCCCCAGCTCACCCCCTCGCATCAATTCATGCTCCAATGCGCCCGTCTGGTGTCTAAAGAAAATTTCACATTGGCTGCATCCTTTGGCTCTCCTTTCTGCTTAGTGTGTACATGAGGATCCTAAGAAGCGGGCCAGCTGATGGTCAATAGACATGACGGCATTGTATAGTCGGCCGCAGGTGTTTTAACCAGATTACCCACGATGATCGCGCGCGCGCGCCTCCACATCGCCTCAGCTACCGTCTAAAAGGTTTATCCTGCTGCCTGGCCTAGCGCAGTGTGGCACAGGCGTGTGGCTATCATCGAAAACGGATTGCAGCCCGTTGTTGGCTGCGGGGATCCCATCAGCGGTGTTGGGCGATGCACCTCGAGGCGGAGAAGAGGCTGATTCTAAAACTCGCGACCGCTCACGAAAGCGATGCTAGCTGCCAAGTCTTATGGCTGGTGGGACGATACATCTCCTGGGCCTAGGCCGTGGGAGGATTTTTTCTCGCCCTTGGCATCCTTCGGATTTGGTGCAACA